GCCACTCACACCACTGGTCCTGTAGGGCTCATCCGCCCTGGATTCCCTGTATTTTCAGTTCCTATCTGTACCAGTGTACATTCTCTGGTCTAGCCAGACTTGCAAGGTCAAATTCGAGTCATGGTAGTGGGAGCGGGGAGGAAACATTTAGGAACTAGAGAAAAGTTGTATTTGTCATCGTTGTTACATCGCCCCCTGACTGGCTTGTCTCCTCCCTGAAACCCCTCTGGGAGTCTCCTTTTCAGTTACGTGTTGCAGACCACCTTATGTTTCTGTGGCTGCTCTGGCTTGGCGACTGCTTCCTGTGGTTGGAATCAAATCACCTGGCAGCTGGAAATGCCTAATGCCCAAGATGGTCATACTATGTGTTTGACAGTCAGCTTCTTTCCAGCATGGTGGTCTCAGGGCAGGCAGTGTCACAAGAGGGCAAGGGCAAGCCTTCTTTAAGTCTGAAGAACTGAGACCTCCCAACTCACACCGCGTGTGTTACTTTACTGTCTACTATCGATAAAGCAAATCTCCGTCAGCCTAGATTGAAAGGATGGGCATCAACTCCACCTCTTGATAGGAGACGCTGTGCATACAATATTGGGATGTTCAAAAGTCCTGCAAAGAAGAGAACTACATCAATGGTGTAGAAATAATGCCAAGAGACTTCCCTTCTAGAAGAGTTTCCTGAAGTAAAAGAATTCTTGAATCTTAAGTATTAAAAGGACATGCCACATACCTGGGAATTTTTCTCTAGAATGATAAACACCATTTTATCTTCTGCTAAACACTTCAGACTTAGAACATGAAAGAAAGAAAAAAATCTATTGGGGCCTCAGGAAAAAGGCCTCGCTAACTCATACAGGGAGTGACACCGGTTGGCATGGCACATTTCAACAGGAGCATTCCATGACAGGAGATAAGAGAGAAACAGATTTCAAATATGAAAAATAAAGGTAAGTCCAGAAGCTCGTGGTCAGTCAAGTTGGCCTTCAAATGTAAAAGCCACAAGCCAACTACTATGAATATCCAAGAACTGAATTCACTGAAGCTCAAGCTTCTGATAACCAAGAAAGGCTTAGAGAAACTCCCTGCACCCACACGTACTCACGCAGAAAGACGGACGACCAACCAGCCGACCACTGTCGTGGTAAGAGCAATGGCCCTCGCTTTCTGCGTCCTCTCCCGACTAGAGCTGACAGTGTCCCCATGCTGTGTGTGTCCCTGTGTGTCCAAAGGGCCCCTGTTTCAGAACACCATTCTGTCGCCTCCAGGTTTTCCCTCTGTTCCGTGCCCTGGGTGCTAATGCCCTCCTCATGGAGTATGAAGACATGTTTCCCTACGAGGGTCGCCTCAAGCTGCTGCGCGCCCAGCACGCATACAGGTATCTGGGACAGACAGACGCCTCCCTGCAGAGGGAGCACAGGGGCTGGGTGGGAACTGGGGTGCATGGAGGTGAGGCTCCCGCCAGCGCTGTGCACTCGCTCCTTTTTCACTCTTCTCAAAGACCAGGCGTCCGAGCTCGTGGACAAAGTCCACCATCTTTGCATTCCTCTTTCCCACAGAAGGCTCTTAGAAATCCTCTGGGGCGTTCTCTTTTTATAAGAATGCAACCTGTTCGGAAAAGAAAGAAAGCCCAATTTCCAAAGAGGCAGCATCCCAGGGGTGCATCCAGGGTCCCAGTTGCATCTAGGGTCCCAGTACCATTCTAGAGGGCACAGTTCAATCCATAACACCCTCCAAAGGAAAGAAATGCAACGTGATCAGTGCTGGCCATTTGGAAAAGAGTAAAAAAGAAAGTAGCCCAAAAGAGAGGCCTCTTCTGTTGTCACCGCTCTGGTCTTTCTTGCCTGAAGACACGAGTGTATGGTGGCGTGAACAGTGGCAGGTCATGCCCCGAGGGGTGGGGGCTGCTTTTTAGGCCACAGTCAGGTGAGAATGGGGGGAGGCTCTCGGTAGGACCAGATGTGGCATGGTTGGAATGCACCCCACTGGCTCTACCAAGTTCTCCGTGGAAATCAGTACCCTGCAGAAAACCGGGCAGAGGCCTTGACTGGCACACCCCGGGATGAGAAACAGTGGCATGTGAGGATATGGGGAAACGGGTTCGTAATCAGATCTCCAGAACAGGAGCATGCTCTGTGTTCCTGTGTGCTCTGCACTGACGACCCCCACCCCCAGGCGCACACCCAGCTGTGTGGAGGGAGGGGACGGTGGGAGGGGTACAAGACGAAGTCCTAGCCATGTGGCTTGTGTCTCTGTCCACGGTGAACGGGATTGTTTGAAGGGCAGCAGAGCCCTTCTGGGACTTGGACAGGGTTTTAGAGCAGGTAAAGATAGGGGAGCGCCGGGGCACAATGATGACCCGTTGGGCTGCTAACCACAGACAGCAGTTCAAGATCCCTAGCCGCTCAGCAGGAGAAAGGCGGCTTGCTGCTCCTGTATAATAATTTGTAAATTATCAAGGGCTCGTGAGGGTGGGAGGGAGGGAGAAAAAATGAGGAGCTGATACCAAGGGCTGAAGTAGAAAGAAATGTTTTGAAAATGATGATGGAAACAAATGTACCAATGCACTGACACAATGGATGGACGGATGGGTTGCGACAAGAGTTGTACGAGCCCCCAATAAATGATTAAAAAAAGAGTTACCGTCTTGGAAACCCACAGGAGCGGTTCTGCCTGCGCTGTAGGGTTGAGAGGGACTGGGTGCCGGGAGCTTTGTTAACGCAGTTTCGGCAGTGAGTGCGAAGCTGATGGGCTGTGGGAGGGCTTCATACATGGGAAGGTGCCGTCTCGCTGCTCTCACGAGGTGGTGCACTCCTAGGTAGCAGCTCCCAGCTCAGGACAGGACAGTGGCCCTCCCCAGGTGGCCCTACAGCCCATGTGAGCTTGAACATGGGCTCTGGGCCTCTTCCAGCAACTAACCTCCCTACTGGGAAGGGAGGCAGACTTCCAGGTCCACTCGCCAGTGTGTGGAAATGTGGAAGGAACGCCTTCTCAGGTAATGGCCAGGCTGCACTTGCCCCTGGCCGGGCTTGGCCCTGGGACCAGAACCAAGTAGCTAGTGCCGAATGAGGGGTCCTGGAGGACCAGGGGGAGCATCTCCTGGGTCCCAGTGTGAGAGCCTTCCCCGGGAGCTACTCCCCTGCTGGCCTCGTGCACGCAGTGGACCCATGACTCCCGGGAGGCCCTGCAGTGTCTGATGGGAAGGAGTGTGCTGGCCTAGGGGAGTGTGCACAGAGCCATGCCGGGGACTGAGGTGTGACTTCTGTGGGTGACTTTTGTCTCTCCCAAAATCCATCCGTTGACTCCCTTCCTCTCATGGCGACCCCAGAGGGGGAGGATTGCCCCACGGGGTCCCCCAGGCTGTGAATCATACGGAAGCAGAAGGCCACCTCTTTCTCATAGGAGTAGCTAGGGGGTTCCGACCACTGACTTCTGTCACCGTGACACTGGCCCGTGTCTTCATCAGCCCCTCGGAGGTGAGAGCCATCCTGCACCTGGCCAGACAGCACGGACTGGAGGTGATCCCTTTGCTGCAGACGTTCGGGCACATGGAGGTGAGAGGGCGGGGAAATGGCCTGGGCCTGCATGTGGGGCTCTGGCTGGGGGGTACAGGCAGGCCCTCGGGGAGCTGGCAGGACCAGCGATTGTTGTCTTTGTGGTCTGTGCACAAACAGCGTGGGAGGTAAACCACGAACAGACCAGCGGCGTTCCCCAGCTTCTGCGCTTCTGGGCCCTGGCCATGGGTGTCCGCACCCTGCCGTGGCCAGCCGAGCTCATGTGCCTTCAGCCGTCCGTTCAATTTAACTGGGAACGCTGCTCCTGGAAGAGGCTGTGTAGGACATGTCTGCTTTCTTCCTAAGGCACCCCTCCCCCGTGCCTGGGATCTCCCTCGTGTGAAGTAGTCTGGTCTCCCGAGTTTTAGCATCTCTCACTTGCTCCATAACCCTGCACAGAGTCCCCGCGAGTCGGGGTTGACTCCCTGGGCGGCAGTGGCTGCCCTCAGCCACAGGTCGGGGCTCACAGACAGGCTATGACACCACTGACTGGACACTTCCTTAGCTGGTGCCCTTGGCATGCTTGTCGCCCTGGTGGTGGTTGCTTTTGCTAGTGGATCAGCGCCTGGCACTGGTGTCCCTGCTCAGGTTGTGATTCCTTCCGGGGTTTGCCCGGCCTGCGTGCGGGCAGGGGTGCTCAGAGTGCAGCCAGTTCTCAGGCCTGCCCCCTTGTGTGGGGTCTCCCCGTTAACTTTTGCCGGGGTGGCCACACATCCCAGTAGGGACGGAATTGCCCCGGCATCTGTAGTTGTCTTGCTGGACTTGCTGTGCTCTCATACCGCTGGGCCAGCCCGTCTGAGTGTGAGCTAGGAGCGGGCCCTGTCCTCTTCCAGCAGCGTCCCTCAGCGTCTGTAACCAGTCGGGGGGAGACTTGTAGTGTCCTCAGCTTGTCTGAGGTTGGGCGTCAGGGGATGGTCAGCGCAGAGCCCATCTTCCCCCCACCACCCGAGGCAGAAGTCAGGCACCCCTCCACTCTCCGACCATCTTAGCAGTCCAGACCCAGCCATCCTGCATGCCACCTCCTCCGGTGATGGCCACACAGACCGCAGCCTGTGTTGACTAAGGAGCGGGACAATGCAGACCAGGGTCAGGCAGCACCGGTGCTGGACAGCTCTCAGTCCCCTCGGCCCACAGCTCTGCCCTGGAGCCCCTGCTGGGACCGGGCTGCTCGTGGTCCTGGCCCTTGACCTGGGTGCCAGCTCTCCCCTCGCTCCCTCCCTCCCTGGCCTCAGTGTCCCCACCGAGCCCCTGACGGGGTTCTCTCCGCAGTTCGTGCTGAAGCACGGGGCCTTCGCTCACCTCCGGGAAGTTGCCCTCTTCCCCAGCACCCTGAACCCCCACGAGCCGGAGTCGCTGGCGCTCGTCGGAGCCATGGTCGACCAGGTCATGGAGCTGCACCAGGGGGCTCGGTGGCTCCACATTGGTTGTGACGAGGTACGGGCCTCCCCCGGCGATGTTCTTCACTTCACGGCTTCTCCCTGCTGCTGCTGCATGGAGAAGCCCACCCCACCCCCCAGTAAGAAGACAGGCTCCCCCGCGACAGCAGTCGGGTGGGCTGGGCCTCCCATGGATGCATGTTTGGCACATGACTGGCTTCCACCTGAAGAAAGGTGATCTGAGGTGGTGGCAGGGATCCTGGACCACCAGCTGGACAAGTGATGGCCTGGTGACCTGGCGTCTGAGTAAGGACCCGGCTGCCAATCAGCTGGCCCGGAGCCGCCTTTGGTGGGTCACACAGGACCGCAAATGCACCCACGGCTTTGTTAAAACTCACGCTGGGGCGAGCTTACTCCACGCCCTCCGCCTGGCTAGTTCTGGAAACCGCTCACGAACCAGTCCCGCAACCCCATGCCCCGGCTAACCTGCCTGCCACGGGGTTGCCTAGGCCCGGCGGCCCTCCTTCACCCATGTGGTGGGTGCTCAGGGCACTGATTCTCATCAAAGGCCGGATGGTGCTCTACCACATGACTGGGCCGTGTCCTGTCCCTCCGTTTGTCCACTTGACAAGGTCATTGCAAGTGTGGGCTCTTGTGAGGCATGCTGCTGGGTTGGAGCCCCTTCCCCCGCACCAGCGATTCCCCCTCTTCCACCCCCCACCCCAACATGCCCAAGGACCCTTCGCTGGGGACCGGCAGGGCCCAGGGCCCCTCCCTCCAGGGGGCCCTCATGGTTCTCGCCCCCAGGTCTATTACCTCGGGGAGGGGGAGGCCTCGAAGCAGTGGCTGCAGCAGGAGCAGAACAGTGCAGCCACACTGTGCCTGTCACACATGAGGGCCGTGGCCAGCCATGTGCGTGCCCGGCACCCGGACACAACACCTCTGGTGTGGGACGACATGCTGCGTGACATGCCGGAGGGCCTCCTGGAAGGTTGTACCCCAGCCCACCCAGGTGGGCGGGTGGGCAGGCCTGGGCAGGGGCAGGCGTTGAGAGACCTCTCATTTCTAGAGCAGCCACAGCCCGGGCAGCCAGGCCAGAGCCTGCTGCTTTCAGGGGTCCTTGGGCCAGTGGCCCCAGGTTGTGTCCGAGTCCTTGGCTCAGGGGTAGAAGCCCATGGGTGGGCCTTAGGCAGGCTGGCGGAAGGGGGCCTGGGTGCTGCCACCCATGCCCACCACCCTGGCTGGCAATCTCAGCCATAGCCCCCGTGGCTGGCCTGCCTGGAGGCCGGTGAGCCAGATGGTGGCAGCAGCAGCTCCCCACCCCAACAGGACCCAGGCTGGTGCTCTCTCACCTCCCCCAGTGAACGGAGTTCTACGAGGATGGTGTTGGCTGTGTCCCCCAGCAGCCTGCTCCCACCAGGCAAGAGCCCTGAGCAGACAGCCGACCTGGCGGCACCAGCCGCAGGTGGTCACTTAGCTCTAATTAGAGTGGTGTGCTCCAAGTGTCCTCTAAGGGCCCCTGCTGGACACCAAGGCACAGCCAACCTCTATCCTCAAAGATACTGCTGGGTTGGTACAGCGCCTCAGTCTCTCATGGCCTCAGGGCCAGTGGAGGAGCTCAGCTGGCCACCCATCAGCTGCTCACGGAGGGTGCTCTAGCCACCAGCCACCTTGACAATTGAGCCTCGGAAAGCTCACAGGGCCCCGAGATGGGTCTTTATTTCAGCCCCGTGGAGGCATCTCCAAAGCAGTGCCCATTTGTGCGTGTGGTGTACGGTCCCAAGAGGCAGCGTCGTCAGGACAGGGGTGAGGACAGCAAAGGGATCCCCTGGCCCCATGGTAACATGTCCCCTGTCCCTGCAGAGTCCGGGGTGCCACAGCTGGTGGAGCCAGTGCTCTGGGACTACAGGGCTGACCTGGATGTCCCCAGCAAAGGTCAGTGCACATCTAGGCCTGAGCACCTGGCTTGAGACCATCCAGGGGCTGAGTGCACAGGTCTGTTCTCCCCGCACAGTCGTCCTCATGGAGAAGTTCCGCGCGTGCGGCTTTCCCCGGCTCTGGGCCGCCAGTGCCTTCAAGGGGGCCACAGGAGCCCACCAGGCGCTGACCCCTGCTGAGCACCACCTGCGGAACCAGCTGCAGTGGCTGGAGGCCGTCCAGGCCGGGCCTGCTGGGGCGCTGCAGGGCATCGTGCTGACTGGCTGGCAGAGGTGTGCCCCATCGGGTGAGGGCAGGGTGGCAGGCCCGGGAGCCCCAGGCCCAGAGCAGGGCAGCCCCTGAACCCTCTCTGGGCCACAGGTACGACCACTTTGCGGTGCTATGCGAGCTGCTGCCCGTGGCCATCCCGACGCTGGCCATCTGTCTGCAGTCCCTGTTGCACGGTGTGCTCTCCCCCACTGCCTCGGCCCAGCGGAGGGAGGGGGCACCGGGCAGGGGCCTTTCTTTCACGTCTACCTTGGGCCAACGCCCACCAGGAAGGGCATGGCTTTCCAGGGGGGTGTGGGCTGCTACTGTCAGGGCGTGGCGCTGCAGCCCAGCTCTTATATAAAGTCCTACCCCACGGGGCTCATGGGAGTCCATCCCTTCAAGGAGGGGCCTGTGCCCACCCCCAGGCAGGCCTCGCGGTCCCCAGGCGGAATGGGCCAGGGTCCTGGGGCCAGCTTGGTGAGTTTGCCCATCCGCTGCAGGCAGCTTCAGTGAAGAGGCAAAGGCCACGGTGCAAAGCTGCCTTGGGGTCTCCAGCCTGGACTTGACCGACTTCACGAGGTACCCCTCCCTCCACAAGCCCCAGCCCCTCCCTCGGACCACCGTTCTCACCCCCACCACCCCACTCTTGGCAGGGAGGGTGCCTGCTCCTTCCCCGGCAGTGACATACTCGCCCTCGTCACTCAAGTCGGCCTCCATCTGCGGAGCTCTGTGGAGGCTCTGCTGGACGGGAACAGGTGAGCCCCCCCCCCCCCCATTCCTGCCACCTGCACAGGTAAGGTAGGACAGGGCCACCTGGTCAGCTGGACTCTGGATGTGTGTGGTTTGCCCAGGTACGTGACGGGCTGGTTCAGCCCCTACCACCGCAAGCGAAAGGTCATCCACCCAGTCATGGTACCACACATCCAGCCTGAGGCGCTCAGGTAATGCCACCCCCTGCACCTAGTGCCACCCTGCCCCAGGGAGTGCCCACCCTTGGCGTCCCTTGTTAGAACCAGAGGGCAGCCTCGCTGGTGGCAGGCGAGCCACGTGGACAGTGAGGGAGTCCTGGGCTGAGAGCACCAGGTGGATAGGCGGCCTACTGCCGCGCCCTGCTGGAGCTCGAGGCTTGCTGTCGTCCTAGCCTCCTGGGCCGCTGGGCCACCCTCCTGCCGGAGCTGGAGGCCGCCCTGACGCGCGTCTTCTACCCAGACGCCGTGGAGGAGTGGCTGGAGGAGAATGTGCACCCCAGCCTGCAAAAGCTGCAGAGCCTGGCCCAGGACCTCAGCCAGGCCATCGGCCAGCCAGGGCCCTGAGTGTAGGTGTGGAGCCCGCAGCCAGGCAGGTCCCATGGACTCCTCGATATCAGGAGGGGATCCTGAGGATTCCAAGAGCAGGAATGCCCCCTGAAGACAAGGGGGAACCCCACAGTGGGGCAGGTCTCTGAGGACACCCCATATTGTGCCATGACCTGAAAGCCCAGGGCCAGAGACCCAAGCAACATCCCCCCCCCCATGTCCAGGCTGCTGGCACCTGCAGGGTGTTTAAAATAAAGAGGTGTGGGATCGTGTGAGCATGATTCTTCTGTCCTCCTTGACCTTGGTTTCCAGAAGAGCCTTCAGACCCTGCCCCTGCCTTGGAACGTGTCCAGCCCTAGGACTTGGGCACTTCAGACTCGGGCTCTAGCGTCGTGTGCTTTTATTTAGAAAAAAGAACATTCACACTTCACCGCGTTAAAGAAAAAAGAACTTAGGTGTTGGAACAGCCAGGTCCCCAAGCTAAGGGTTGCTTGGTGCTATCCCCTGGCAAAGCGGGCAGAGGCTCCTCTCCATCCAGCAGCCTGGCCATGGCTATGTCTCATCCTGGGGGAGGCAGCTTGCTGCCCCCTCAGAACCTGGGGGCAACTTCAGCCCTCCAGGGCCTCCAATGCAAAGCCTGAGGCTGGTGGGACCTGGGGCAGGGGCCAGGGACGAGCACGGCACCCCAGCAGGGGCAGTGGGCTAAGCGCTGGGCTGCCAACAGAAGGGTCATCCACTGGCGCCCCCAGCTACTTGAGCGGGGAGAAAGCACAGCCTGCTTCCAGGAAGAGCTGCTGCGCCTCCCCCTGCGGAGCAGGTCCACTGCCCCTGTCGGCTATGAGGGTCAGGATGGGCATGCTGGCAGTGGATTTGACTGCAGGAGCAGGAAGGATGGGAACCAGAAGATGGCTCCGGGGCGGGGGTATCAGTCCCCAGCCCGATGTCACCGCTGGAAGCAGGGTCTGGTCGTTGGGGTCTTGGCTGAAGGTGGAGGGAAGGGTGGGCCCACAGCCCAGTCCCTGCACCCTATGGGCCTTCTGCGACCCTGAGGGCTGTGTGCCCAAATGAAGGGGCACCGTTGGGGGCAAGGGTGCGGGGGGTGGGGGTGGGGTCTAGGACCTTTGTGTCTGTGGCGTTGCTGCCCACGGGGCCACTCCCCACCCAGTGCCCTACACAGAATGTGGGTCCTGGACATGGGAGGCTCTGAGGGGCGGGGCCGAGTCCAAGTCCCTCAACAGCCAGGGGAGCCCCCAGGCAGACGTGCAGCCTTGGGAGGTCAGGGACAAGGTCCTGGCATGTAAGAGGCTCAAAGCAATAGGCCAGTACAAGTCAAGGGCACGCAGTGGGAGGGGTGCAGGACCCCGCCCAGTGCGGCTAGGAGGGGGCTTCCAGGGGCAGGCCTGGGCCCTCAGCTGTGGTGCCCTGGTTCAGCCTCGCTGTCACTACTCTGAGAGGGGTCTCCTGGGCTCTCGAGGCGGCGGAGCTCCAGGAAGCTGGCGATGAGCTTGGCCACCGCTTCCACGTCACTGAGAGCAGTGCAGAAGGAAGGGCGCTTGGTCACTGAGGCCCGTTCCTGCCCCACCCAGGCCTCTTACCTGGGCCAGCCAAGCCTCTAGTTCTGCTGACACCCATAGCCTGGAGCTGTTGGCACATAACCCACGGGCACACTACCTTCCTGGGCCGTCCCACGCACCCCTTCCTCAGGAGAGCTCCCCCCCGCTGTACCAGCGTGCACTCCGGACTTGGGCTTTCCCCTCCTAATCCCACCTATCCCATCACTGGCTTGATTTCCTGCCCACCCCCAACACTGAGCAGTGCTGGATGCCCCCACCCACCCCTGGCTCTCACCTCCGGTGGCCCATGACTGTGCTCTGGGTGAGGGGGTGAGAGAAGCCTGTTGCAAACCGCAGCACGACCACATAGCCCTTCCCAAAGTATCGGACCTTCTCCTCCTCGACGTTCACATCCCGGATGTCGCTCAGCAGGACCACCACTGCGGGGGCACAGGTCAGCGAGACACCCGCATACCCACCCTGTAGCTACCGATGGGGTTCACATCTACCAGCGGGCAAAGGCCCTGTGCCTTTGCACTTGGGCGAGCCCTCGTCTAGATGTCAGATGACCACGATCACAAAGGATTTCAGAGGAGGCTCCTCCTACTGGCCACCTCCAGTACGGGTGAGGGGTCACCGAACTGACTAGTCGGCAAAGCAGGTGTGGGGTCGCAGTCAGCAAGGCAGAGTCCTGCGGCAGCCTCACCACCAGGGAAGAGCTCATCTGAGTGTTCCCTCTAGCATGCCAGGCATCAGCTGGCCTCGAAGTTGCACTGCCCCACTCTGCGTCCCTGCCATCCCCAAACCTAGTGGCATGTGTCTCAGCAACCCTACAGGGCAGGAGAGAGCTGGCCTTTGGGGATTCCAGGACTTCGGATCTTTACAGGAGCTTCCCCCGCCCCCCCAAACATCTGTGGGCTCCAACCACCAGGGATCCAGTGACTGGGGAATGCTTCCTTTACCCACAAGTTTTGGAGGCAGCTGTTGGGAGACCACCCCCAACTCAGGTACCTAGGCCAGCCCCTGGATTCTGCAGCCCTTGGGGGCCACCAGGAGCCTTAGCACAGCCCCAACCCCCAATACTCACAGCCTGAGACCAGGCTACTGTCTTCTCCCCACTTCCCTCCAGGGGACCCCAAAGCCTTGTACGATATAGTGTCTGCGTTCATTAACACAGCAGTTGTGTGTGTGTGGTGGGGGATGAGCCGTGGGGAGGAATTGTATGATGGGTGAGCAATGAAGACCTCCTGCCCCCAGGAATCTGAATGCCCCCCTGCCCCCTCTCTGCACATTCCTGAAGCTAGACTACAGCACCTGCCTTGCAGGGCATCTGGGCTCCAGATGCCATGCTGCCTCTCCATGCACAGCAGTCAAGGACACTGGGGTCCCCTCAAGGGCCCTTTCTAGTTGCTGGGCAGGGTCTGAGGGAACCAGACGCACCCCCACAAGAGCTCAAATCTGCAGCTGCCCCGTGCCAGCCTCACCTTGTTCTTGGCCTGCCCTGCAGAGGGTCAGCAGCTTCTTGTACAGGCTGACCGTCTTCAGAACAGCTTTCCCAGTGCTCTTGTTGAAGACAGCTTCCTGGCAAACGGGCACAGGCTGTCAAGTCTGGCTTCGGGTCTGTGTCGTGGCCACCTCACTAACTCCAGAAGGGCTGGGCCCCACCACACCAAACGGAGAACACCACCCTTCGCCCATACACAGATACAGGTGGAGTTACAGCCCAACACAGCCCTTCATGCCCTACACTGTCACGGTGAGCATTTGGGGTGGGGTGGGGGGAGGTCTGGTCCCCCTGCTGCCCCCAACCTGTCAGCCCAGGGTCGTCTCTAAATAGGACCAAACACCCTGAGTCCTCTTGTCCCTTCTGAGGGGAGGGCAGTCATGTTGGCGCCTGCGCCTCCAGAGAAGGGCAGCCCAGAGGGAGGCCTGGAGGGCAGAGGTCAGCGCACACTTGGGCCACGGGCAGGGGTGGGAGTGCATCACCACCAAGGATGACAGACTTGCCCCATAGTCTTCAGTGCTGAGGTGACACCCAGGGCTCAAGACAGTCAAAGGGAGCTTCTGAGCGGAAACGGCCCAGGGCAGCCATAGACCCCAAGGTGCCGCCCAAACCCACCTGCAGGGCAAAGCAGTGTAGCAGGGCTCATGCAGGGCCCAGTGGACATGACCAGGCTGGGACCCGGCTATAGTGAGGTCCCACCATTTCTGGGGAGTGCCGCCTCCCCGCAGCACCATGTGGTCCCTCTGCTCAGCCCTTACCTCCCACTCCTCCAAGTTCTGCACCGCCACGAAGAGGCAGCCAGTGACGTAGAAGAGCTTCCAGCCCAGACTGTCTGCAGGGCACACAGAACTGAGGTGAGGAGGCCTGGCCTGTGCCTTCCAGGCAACAGGGGCCCAAAGGGGTCTACTGGCCTGCAGGGCCCTACCCCCCACACCTCTGGCCCTCAAGTAACCATCTGGGGACCGTTCCTCTTTCCCCTCCCAGGCATCTCGGGTGTTAGTAGTTGAGGGTGGCATTTACCTCCACTGTAGTAGGCGGCGGCCAGGCCTATGGACAGGATCCCTGCAGAAGAAAGCCAGCCCTTATGCCCTGTGCCCTCAGCCTTCTGTGGCCAATGATGGGCAAGATGGGGGGGAAGCAGAAGGAGCTGGCGGGGGAGGAAAGCAACCAAAAAGCCTGAAGCTTTCACAAGTGTCTTATCTACACAGGCTCAGAGCGACAGGCCACATAGAGAGGGGCCCAAGAACGTGTGGTGTGCGAGAAGAGCAAGCCCAGCCCCCGGGAGTCCTGGTGTGTGCGGTAAGCACAGCTGCCACCTCCCCAAGCCTCCTCCCAGCTGCAACAGGACTCTGCTGGGGGGGGGGGGCAGGAATCGGGGAGGCACCCACCCCCTCACCAGACTCAGGACGGGCATGAGCTCAGCAAGTAGGAGCACCCTGTCTGTCATATCCCCATGCTAGTGTGGCATGCAAGCTTTCAGTACAAACGGTCGGTTCCTATCCTTGTCACCAGCCCGAGTGATAGCTGAGGCAGAGCGTGAGTCACAATCATTGAAGTTGACAGAGGAGCCTGGTGTGTCTGAGTGTGATGGGGAAACTCTGTGACCTCAAAGTGCTGCCAAGGGCATGAGGTGGTAAGACGAGACCAAGTGGGCATGAGTCAGTTATGAAAACGGATAGAAAAGAAATGAATTAGTCATTGTGATCTGGAGCTGCAGAGGCAAGCGGGAAAAACCGATTCGCCTGTATGCTCTCTAGAGGTCATGTACTGGTTCTGCAAAGACCCAAATACTTACCAACAAGAAGAGACCAGGACCTGATGCCGGGGGCCCTCTTCAGGTGGAGGCGGGAGCTTGTGTGCACCTCCACCTGCATATACATCCCGGCCACTCTGGGACACCCTCCACAGGATGCCAGGGGCTAGGGGAGAGCAGACACATACAGGTGGAGCCCTTGGGCCCACTGGCCAAATCCAATGCAGACCAGCCAGCCTGACCCACGGCAGACCCTGAAGTCCCTTCACTCCCACTCACGAAGCACCAAGCATCCCAGCCGCCTTCAACTTCTGGACCTCAAGCCCACAAGCGCCGCCCCCCCACACACACACCCTCTACTTAGCCCTGCGCTGACGTCCACCAGGAGAGGAAACAAAAAGGAAGGAAGAAGGGTTGGTGATTTTTCTTTTTCTTCTTTTAGTTGGGTTCCTAAAATTCTGATCGCAGGGAGTCCCTGACTTGGGCTGCAGCAGTCAGCTCTGCCCGCCCGGCGGGCAGTCTGGAAGCTGAGGGCTACAGTTCCGGATACTTCCTCGCCGGACTCCTACGTGGGGTCCAATCAGGTTTCTG